AGGGGGGGCTAGGTTCACAGGGGCTTCTGTGGCCATTGCTTCTCCAGACCCCTAAGGAAGCAGGAGAGAAGAGAAGCCGTGGATTACACTTCCCAGGACTCCTGCCTCCAAGCCATTCACCCCCAGGGGCCGGAATTAGTGCCAACTGGCCAGGAGGGCTTCTCTCTGGATTTCGGGCATTGGGGGAGGGGCACCGGCTGCCATTCATTCCTCTGCTCTATCAGTCATTCCAATCACTTGGAAAAATCAGTGAACCAAGAGTGAGGGAAGACAGGTGTCGAGCCCACCAGTAAAGAGGTATTTTCAATAAGTAATAATTGACGTGAAGAAAATAAACAAAGTAGGCACCAGAGAGTGACTGTTGGCGGGGGGGGGGCGGGGGGGGAGACAAATTCTTATTCTTACAGGGGTAGGGGATACTTTAAGCTGAGAGACCAGAGGGATGAGAAGCAACAAGCCGTGTCACAATCCAGAGCAGGGACTGGCTAACTTTTTCTGAACATGTTTTCAGTATTTGGGAGCCACGTGATCTCTCTTCCAATGACTCAGCCCTGCCCTCGAAGCCACTGACCCGTTTTTCCTCTCTTCCTTGGGCCTACCCTGACTCTCCCTTTCTACCCACAGTTTGACCTTCCTTCCTTTTCCTTCCTCTTTTCATTCAGCTTTGCCACCCTTTTAGTTACTACTAACAGTGACAGTAATCCCCAAGGTGTCTCTGCACAAATCACTTAATGTCAAAAATCCCTCCACCACCCTAACTTTGTCACCAGGGGTGTGGGGTAGGGGAGGGGGGCACCGTTGCTGATCTCGGCCCATTGGCCAGAACTCACAGGGAGGTACACAGGTTCTAGACCAGGGGCCAGCAAGCCTTTTCTGTAAATGGCCAGATAGCCAATATTTTCAGTTTTGCCGGCCACGGGGTCAGTCGTAAGTCCACAGCTCTGCCCTTGGGGTGTGACAGCCGCTGCAGACAGCAGGTAAATGAACGGGTGTGGCTGTGTGCCGATAAAGCTTCGTTTATGGACACTGACATTTCAATTTCATATCATTTTCATGTGGCACAAAAGATTCCTCTTCTTTTTATTTTTTTCCCCAACCGTTTAAAAGTATAAAGCCTATTCTTAGCCCACAAGCCACACAAAACTGGCAGTGGGCCATCGTGTACCAAACCATGTCTTAGACCAACTCCACAGGAGGCTCTGGGCACACGCTAATCCTACGATGTAGGAGCTAGAGGGTCAGAGCAACTGCCCCCGGGTCACAAAGCCAGCTATTGGCAGAGCCTGAACTAGAACCCAGGTCTTGTGACACCCAGCCATGTTCTGGAGGACGAGGCTTCGCCTTCTGTCTTCCCAGCTACCTGGTGAACCCTCTGAGGGCCTCTGTATGTGCGTCTCCCGCTGCGGGTGTTCGTGCGTGCTAGCCAAATCCCACAGAAGCCCCGTGTCCCCAAGCTCGGTAGGAGGCGTGGGCATTCTTCTGTGCAGGCCCTAATTGCCAGATCGGGTCTCTTTCTCCCCTCCTCACCATCTAGGTGGCCCCTTCATTAACCCAATTACCACCACCTCCCCCTACCACGCCCTGCTTACATCCTTCCCTGGACACTGTGGGGCGTCTAGGGCTCCCGTCTTCCCTTGGAATCCTGACCACCACAGCACAGGCTGACTGGGTGTCTCCCCACCCTCTAAAGCTCTGCTGGTAATTTCCCAGTGCCTCATGGTCCCCAAGCAGCAGCATGTCTGAGCGCAAAGGAACCAGGACCTGATGTCCTAAGTCCGGGGTTCTATTGCAGGCTCTGCCGAGAGTTAGCTGAGTCACCATGGGACCGCCATTCTACCTTTCTGATACATCTCTTTCCTCATCTATAGAATTAGCCATACGACCTTGAAGACATTATTTAAATACCTCTCAGGTCAGTCCCTTTATCCGCGACAGGAAGACAGTAATACAAAATCATGTAACCACGGCTATAAGCACTGGGCTCGGTGCATGTGTAGTCAAGGCTTAAGAAGAGTTAAGGTTAGGGGAGCCTGGGTGGCTCAGTCGTTAAGCGTCTGCCTTCAGCTCAGGTCATGATCCCAGGGTCCTGGGATCGAGCCCCACATCGGGCTCCCTGCTCGGCGGGAAGCCTGCTTCTCCCTCTCCCACTGCCTGCCACCCCTGCTTGGGCTCTTTCTCTGACATAAATAAATAAAATCTTAAAAAAAAAAAAAAGAAGAAGAAGAAGAAGAGTTAAGGTTAGGGGCGCCTGGGTGGCTCAGTCGTCAAGCGTCTGCCTTCGGCTCAGGTCATGATCCCAGGGTCCTGGGATTGAGCCCCGCATCAGGCTCCCTGCTCAGTGGGAAGCCTGCTTCTGCCTCTCCCTCTCCCCCTGCTTGTGATCCTGCTCTCGCTGAGTCTCTCTCTGTCGGATAAATAAATAATTAAAAATTTTTTTTAAAAAAAGAAGAGTTAAGGTTCTTTTGCTTTTGTGTTTGGTTTTCTGTTTGCTTAGTGTTTTCTATTATTTTGGTCCAAAAGCCCTACCTGTTGCTGCAGAGCTTTTTCCCCAGGGGGCCTTCGGTGGTTCTGCTCCTAGTCACCTCTAACCAGCCAGGCAAATCCTGGGACCCGTGCCTGCCCCGCCCACTGCACAGTAATGCCGGAAGGTTGATTTCAGTGAGCTACTGCCTATGAACTTGCCTCAAAAATGCAAAATAATGCTTTTTCTAAGAAATGCCTTCTAATGCCCCACTTTAATTGCATCCTAACCTCAAACCGACTTACTCCAAGCTACCTTAGTCATACAATCCTGAGCAATGCAGTTTCCGTAGTGTAGTGGTTATCACGTTCGCCTCACAATCCTGAGCAATGCAATTCCAGCCCCGTAGCTTTGCATTCTAACATTATCGTTCTGTGCCTCTTACCCACGTTGCCAAATTTTAGAAAGTATCCTCTTACTGTCCACTGAAACCATACCCAAACAAAACACAGTCTTCCCCTATGTTCCCAAGGCACTAGCCAGTTCGAAATCTACCCTCCCTTTCTTAACTTAAAGGCCTCTATGTTTGCTCCATTCCATCCACAGACTGGGTCTTTCCACACTCCCATCTTCCACTTCTCACTAGGTTTTCACACCCAATCTGGCTGCTGGGAGTTCAGGAACCTTCTCCTTGGCATGAAAAAAAGCCGGTCCGTCTCCTTGTTGATTTAATCTATTTTCTGATCAACTGTGAAGAATGTGGTTTTTCCCCTGTTGGCTTAGTTCTAAAGTCTTTCACTTGTAATTAAGCAGCTCTGCACTTTAACTCAGGATGACACGAGAAGGTCATAATTGTCCAACTGTTCTGCCAAAGATAAGCTCAATTTGGGAACGAGCTCCCCTTCTCGCTGCCCCCCTCCAGGAATGGCTATTAATTTGCCACAGCTTCTACAGAATTATCACAGACTTGGCTTCTAACTCCCACACATGCCTCGGGAAGGTTTAACTGTCAGTAAGTTTGGTAACTTAGAAACCTCTTCCTTAACAACTTTGATGAGGAAAGTCATGTGTTCTCGCAGGCTCTCTGCTGGATTATTTTTAACAGTAAAACTTGAGTATGTGCATGCACTTTCTATACCTTTTGGTACTATATAATTATCCATGTTCAGGGGGTGTCATATTCAAGACACCCTGGTCATAAGATAACATGACTGCGAGCTATCTCAGAGAAAAAAAACCTCAATTATGACTAATTCCTATAAGCCCACTCATGGTTATTTAGAGATTAACACCTCCTTCAGGTAAAACCGTTCCATCGAACCTGCTTTCATAACCCACTGCCTCCTCCTGAGCGCAGGGACCATCTGTTACACGGAGGGAGCACCAACTCTCCCCAGCATCTATTCCATAGAGAAGGGAAGCTGGGGGGGAACAGGTGTTTGGGGACCTGGGCCAACTGTGCCTTTGTACCCACACCTTGGGTCCCAAACTCTGCCCACACCCCTGGGTCCAGGAAGGCTTGGGCAGTGCCCATCATTAGCCCGGCTCAGCTCATTTCCCCACCTCCGGGCCTGGCAGCCATGCAACCACAAAGTGATTTGACAAGATCTAGGTGTAGGCATCCATCAAGCTGCCAGCTGAATAGGCAAGTGGCCTGTTTACTTAAACAGAATAGCTGTACCCCAGAGGCCTGCTAGGAGTCAGGAAACAAACATTCTTCGTAACTGTTTCCAGGGAACTGCCAAAAGGTGCCCATTGCTTAAGATGAATTGCCAAATCAACTGGAAACGAAGAACATTGGACAGGAAAGGCTGAGGCCATATTCCTGCTTTCCAAAGGAGCCCACCTCTCAGCACAGGGTCAGACCACCCCATTTCACTCACAACCCAAATCTAAACCCACAGCAAATGCAGTAAAATACACCCACCCACATACCATCTGCTGATACATACCGAGGATGCATACATTTGAATTGGTCTTTTAAAAATGTTTATCAGTTAATACTATCCCCTGCCAACAACCCCCCCCACCCCAATCCGCCCCCTGTGAGGCTCTCAAGATGAAAGCACTCAGCAGAATCAACAGGAGATGGTAGTTGGCCTGAGCAGGAGAAAACTTTGGTAGCATTCCCAGCTCTACCCCCGACTAAATGATTAGAATGCACTGTCCCACGCAGAGTGCCACGTTTAAAAGGGGGAGTGGAGAAATTGGACCACAAGCCACCAAGTGATCAAAGGTTTGGAAAAGGCAGTGGGGATGGTTGCAAGAGCAGCGTGGGGTGGGGGGAGGTGGAGGAGGAGAGCTCAATTATTTCCAAGTACGGACAGCTCTAAAAGGAAAGGAGCTGAGCTGGAACAGCCGCAGCAGGCATTTGGGGGAGGGGCAAGAAAGAACGCCTAGAAAGTGAGAGGTGCCTGGGGAAAAGAGCACGGGTCTGGAGGAGGCTCTGATCCGGTTCCGGTCTCTCCGTGTGCAGGACGTCCTTTGGGCCCTGTGGGTCTGTCCGTGTCCCCCGTCCGCACTGCCCAGCCAGGAGGGCATGGTCCGGCGGTTTCCCAGGCCCCTCGGCTTCCGCGGAGCCCGGGAGCTGTCCCATTCCGGCAACGGTGAGCTGGGCCGGGCTGGCTTTGCCCCGGGAGTGGCCGCTTCTCCCCGGGCCCCGTCCTGTCCCCTGGGGGAGCCACCGGGGCCGAGGCCGGGGAGCCCCCGCCGCGTCGCCAGGCGGCGGGGCGCGCTCACCTCGGCCGCTGCTCCATCCGCCGCCGGCGCCCGGCTCCGTCCCGCTGGTAAACAGCCCGCGTCTCCGGGGCAACGAGGCGGAGGGGGCCACGTGCTTCCGGTCGGTGGGCCGGCCCTGGCCTGGGGGCGCGCGGGTGGGGGGCCTCCTGGCTCCTCTCCCGGGGCCGGGCTGGGGAGCACCGTGGGCTGTGACCTGGGGGCAGGCCCCGGCTCGCTCAGTGACCCCGGTTTGGGGAGAAGCTGCTGGACCGACTGATTTCTGGGCACCCTCCAGGCTCAGTGGCTGCTTTTAGGGCTTGTGTTGAGTTGGGGCCTCTCGTCCTTGTCTGTTCTCAGTGCAAGCCTTCAACACCGAGTCCGTGACCTCCCTTCCACATCAGCCCCCCACTCCCGGCCGCTTCTGGACCCTTGATATCAACTACATCTGCCCTGCTTTGCCCCTCCTAACCATGACCCCTCTACTTCCAGCAACCCCAGTCACCTGTACCCCATTTGTCTTTCGCAGCCCATTGCCCTCTGCGCTTTCTCGCCGCCCACAAGCCTGCTTCTTCCCTGCCCTGCCCAGCCCACGGTCCTTTACCCAGGCCATTCCCTTGCGAGCCCCCTGCTACCTCTCCCTCCTTCCCACCTGATGAAACTCCATCAGTCCACCTACACCCAGGGGCTGAAGACACCTAGACCAGCCACGGACGTCGGCGTAATTTGCGGAAAAGTGTGGTCTCCAACGTCTCCTGGACTCTTAACCCTACGCAGAAATCCTTCCACTCCCCCCCCCCGCCCGTTTAGTTCTGTCTCCTCTCTCCTCCGTGGTTATTTCAAACCTTGACCTCTCTCCTGAAACCTCTCCCCTCTCCCCTGCCCCTCCTCCCACGCAGAAGAATTCTCACCTCCCTCTTCAGAGAGAAAGGAGAAGCCATCCTACGGAAGCCTTGTTAGTGTTCTGCCATCAGACTACACATTCGCCTGCTTTCCTCCGTGCCTCCTGCTCGAATGGGAGGGGACACGTCCTCTGACTCTGCCCAAGACCTACTGCTCCTCCAGACGGCCCCAAAGCCAGTTCCCTGCCACAGGGCCACACACATACCCTCCAGACCTTTGCTCCGGCTGTTCCTGATGCCTGGAAGATTCTTCTCCATCCTCCCCAAACTCTGCCTCCTCCCTTCCTTTGCCTAATGCCCATCCCAACTTGATGGATGAAGACTTTCTTCCAAAATGAAATTAAGACAGCTTCAGAAGGAGCCCTTACTGGACTATTATTGTCTGCCAGGCACGGTTCTAGACTCTTGGAATGTGCAGAGGCATAATTTTGTGACTATATTATTGGAAGATAATGTTAGTAGACATCCAAGAACCAAATTATCAGAGGAAAGAATTGGGATTCATTACCTAGCATTGCGGCTAGATATCTGTTATCTTCTGTATCCCGGACACACGGACACAGCATTGCGATAGGGCATAACTCCAGCCGTGGGACAAGATGTTCACAGTTTGGTTGAGGAGGCGTGTCACACGCCCCTAAAGAGTTACAAATGAGATTGTTTTCAATAAGTTCGAGCCAAGAATGGAAGAGCGGGTGTAGGCTGGACGTGGTTATGTGCCACATGACTGACACTGATAGGAAGGTCTTCGGGCCCCGGGAGGAGGGGATCATTTCGGCAGCAATGTTTCTTCCTGTGTCAGTGAAGCTGCACCTGACCTGTGGGAGCTGCTGGTGGGCACGCCTCCTGCTAGGGTCACCCCTTGACCCGCCCTGGGCATCCAGGGTGGCATCTGAGGCCCCAAGAGGGTGCAGGAGGTGATGGTTTTAGGAGCTGTTGGCTTTGCAGCTCTGTGCTGGTGGTGGCTTATTTCCTGTAAATGATTCTGTCGGAAATATCTAAGCAATGCTCTTCAGGCCTTCAACGCCCACCCAAAAAAGATTAAAGTAGATTCTTCATCAGCTATTTTAATAGCACCTAAGAATTATGCAATCTTTTGGAAAATCAAATTGGCTTCTCCCCCTGCCCCCCCCGCTGTGTGTGTGTGTGCGTGTGTGTGTGTATGTGTGTGTCCCCACATGGGCATGCACTGAAATAAATGGTGTTTATGCCTAGGGTCCGTTTAATATTCAGCAGCAGGTGCCCTTTGCTCCCCGGTGTCATGTAATGTGCAGTGCCGGGGGGGGGGGGGCAGGCGGGAGGCTGGAGGGAAGGAGCCAACCAGCCAATTGCTGTGCCTTCCTGCTCTTTAAAGAAAGAGCTGACTTTGCTACGTTTGTCTCCCCTCTTTCTTTAAAGATCATGTCTTCAAAGGACGAACCCTATAATGCCCCGTCTCTGGCACACGTGCAAAATGGATTCTCAGTAAACATGGTCAGAGGCGCCTGCCTTGCCAGGTTAAATGTGGACTCACCCTCCTTTCCAGCCATGGTTCCCTTACTCCCTGGCTTTCTCCATGGGTTCCAGCCAACTTGGTCCCCAAATGGGCCTTCAGTCTTTTCATCTCCAGGGTCTTTGCTCATGCCCACCCCACCCTGCTTCCTTCCTTGAAGTCAATCCAAATTTACTGATCCTTCAAGGCCGCTGTTAAAAAGTCACCTCTTTCATGGAGGCCTTTCCTGACCACCTCCTCCCCACCCCCCAAGCCTCATGGGCTTTTGCTGATCCCTTTTGGTCCAGTGGAACATGCCCAAGATGGCACCATGCACCCTCACCAGGTCAGTTCCTCTGATCTTCAGGGCTGTCTCCCAGAAAGGCATCATTGGCCTCCTTTGCCCCCCAAAACCAGCTGACCCTCAGGGTCCCTCAAGTTCTTGAGTGGCAGAGCAGTTCCAGAACCCCAATCTGGCTGATTCCACCCCGTACTCCAGAGCCCACCCCCACCCCGGCATTCCATGGCGCCTTTACCTGTACCCGCCTATTGTGCTGGTTGTGAGGTGGTAGGCATGGCCCCTGGAGTCCAAGCTTGAGTTCGAATCCCGGCTCCACTACTTGCTAGCTGCAGACCTTGGGTAGCTAATTACACTTCCCTGCCCCTTGCTTTCTACCTCTATAGAATGTAGGTGGTTAATAATGGGAGTGTGGGGGGCGCCTGGGTGACTCAGTCGTCAAGCATCTGCCTTCCGGCTCAGGTCATGATCCCAGGGTCCTGGGATCGAACCCCGCACCAGGCTCCCTGCTCGGTGGGAAACCTGCTTCTCCCTCTCCCACTCCCCCTGCTTGTGTTCCCTCTCTCGCTATGTCTCTCTCTGTCAAATAAATAAATAAATCTTTAAAAAAAAAAAGAATGGGAGTATGGCAGGGCGAAATCAGACGCTACCTGTAAAGGTCTTAGCACAGGGGCGCCTGGGTGGCTCAGTCGTTGAGCGTCTGCCTTCGGCTCAGGTCATGATTTCAGGGTCCTGGGATCGAGCCCCACATGGGGCTCCCTGCTCGGCAGGAAGTCTGCTTCTCCTTCTCCCACTCCCCCTGCTTGTGTTCCCTCTGTCGCTGTGTCTCTCTCTGTCAAATAAATAAATAAAAATCTTTAAAAAAATAAAGGTCTTAGCACAGTGCCGGGCACGTGGTAAATGCTTGGTGAGGGTTAGTGTTCATTATCATGTTGGTTTCCTCCTCCCATGTGCCTTTCCTCCAGCTCCTCCTGAGCTTCTCTAGGCTAGGAACTTGCCTGTGTCTGAGTCCCTTGCTTTGCCCACATAGTGCCTGCTTCATGGTAGGCGCTCAGCAAATGAAAGTTAAATTAATTAAGACACAATGCTGATTCCACAGCTGGCTTTTCCACCGAGGGACCCGGCTGGCTGCCACTTGGTATCCCCCAAGGATATCTGGTTTGAAGTCTAAATGACCTCCCCCAGGGTTGGGCTGAAGGCAAAATCAGTGTCTCAGCAGTTTGTCCCCAAAGAGCAGTTGGCCTCTTTTTGAACTAGCAGCTTCCAGATTTTGGAGCCTATACCCAGTGTACTATTCTGCCCTCGATCCCATTAGATGTGTTGATTGAGACCCTGGATAATCTTCAAGCAGAAGGGGGACCGGGTGCATGCTCTGGTAGAGAGGCCAAGAGGCTGGCACAGTTACTATGCATCCTGTTGCCTCAGCTTCCCAAGAGGCCCTGCAAGAGGGAAGTTTCTAGATAACGAAATCTACCTCTTGAAGTACTGCAGGTTTCTATTGTTTCCCCATATTGTTGGAAAACATCCATAAATGTCGTGCCTCCTTCCCCCTCTTCTTAAGCAGAACATAGAAAACATGGTACCTCACCTTGGCTACAGTTGACCAAGGGCTTTCGACCTCAGGAACTTGTTGAATCTTGCTGGCAGTCCGTGGGGGGTCAGGCTCATTGTCTCCACCTCACAGGTGATAAAGCGAAGGCTCAGGAACCTTAAAGACTCTCCCAGGACGTGGTGGTGCCCTGCTCCAACCCTCTTCTCTGACAGAAAATCTGGAGTTATTTGCCCTGCAGCTTGGCAGTCTCCTACATGATGCAGCCTTTTCTTGACGACTTGAAGTCAACAACCACTCCAGGTGCAACGGTGTTGCTGTAGCTAGAACCATCTGCCCCTATACTCAGTGGCCCCAGGTTCGTAGGCTTGGTCCGTTATTGTTTTCATCACTCCTGTCAGCCTCCACTATAACTCCCTTCCTGTTCAACCGCTGCGTCTGAGAAAAGGAGGCTGACCCCTTGCTGGGATCGTGTCTCAAATAAGAGCGCTTGTGGCATCTGCTTGGATGCTCGGGCCGTTTAGGTTTTGTTTTCCTAGCGCTGTTTTGGATAGGTAGAGCCCTTGGCGCAATGCCCCGCAGGGAAGCAGGAGAACAGCTCAGGGTTCGGGATGCTGCCTTTGGCACCCACACACCTGGGTCGAGTCCTGGCTCTGTCACTTTGCAGGGCAAAATACCCACCCCCCGCCAGTCTCTGTTCTCCCATCTAGAAACTGGGGTTGGTCATCTAGGCCACATGGGGAGTATTAGAAGAGGATTTAGGGAGATAATCCACAAACCCTGCTTAGCCCATGCTGGCCCTCGGTAGTATATAGTTTTGTTTCTATTTCTGTAACTTGAAACATGATCGGACTCTGATCATTCATTCATTCCTTCACTCATTCCTCAAATATGTATTTATTTCCCATCTCTCCGTGCCTGGCTTTCTTATCTGCACAATGAAGGTGATAGTAGTGCTTCTCCAGCTGGGGGCCCTGAGGACTTACTGCGAAGTGCTCAGAAGCCTCGCAGGGTGTAGAAGTGTGACACAAAAGTGACTCATCCTCACCACCAGTACAAGAGTGTGCCAGGCCCTGCATGTGCCGGTAGGCGCTGGGAATAAAGAGGTGAACAAAATAGCGTGATCTTTGACTTATGGAGCTCACGGGTTCTTCCCTCCTTCTTTTCTCCATGGGGAGAAAAGCCAACCAACGTTTCAGCATTGTCTGCGTCAGATGAATTGATGGGTCTGAGAGCATTGCTCACAGAGACCTGCCGACCCGCCACTGCCACGCTAGAAGCTGACACTAGAGTCCATGCCATGCTCCCTGCCGCCCATGCTCTTGCCCTTCCTCACGTCCCTGGGCCTCCAGCCCTGTGATCTTGCTTTCAGTTCAGCACAATCCGAAGAACCCGCAAACGAGCAGTCAGAGGAGAGAAACGTGCCCTGTCATAGCCATGGAGGCCAGTGTCTGTGAAAATGCTCTGTCACCCTCAAAAGGCCACACGGGCAAGAGGTCTAGGCAGGAGCCTGGTGAGGGGGAAAGAGCGCCGAATTTGGAGGTTGGGACCAGAGGTTACGTCCCAGTTCTGCTGCTTGGTAGCTGTGTGTCCCTTCTCTCTGAGCCTTGATTTCCTCAACTGCCAAACAAGAAAGTGATAGGCTTTACCTGTCCAGTTGTATGAGGAGCAAATAGGAGTGGAATACAAATTTAAGGTAATTCAAGGCCCCCTCAAACTCCTCCTTTTAAAGGTGAGTTCACTGCTTCTCACTCTACATGGGCTTAGGTTGGCCTCCCTGGACACAGACTCTGAGACAAAGAAGTGCATTCTCAGGAGGCTCCCAGGAGAGACACCTGTCAGGAAGTGAACAGAGCAAGATTGGAGAGAGGGAGAAGCTGACACACAGGAGAAGCTGACAGAGAAGGAGAAGCTGACACACAGAGGGAGAAGCTGACACACAGAGGGAGAAGCTGACAGAGAAGGAGAAGCTGACACACAGAGGGAGAAGCTGGCACACAGAGGGAGAAGCTGACACCCAGAGGGAGAAGCTGACAGAGAGGGAGAAGCTGACACACAGAAGGGGAAGCTGACACACAGAGGGAGAAGCTGACAGAGAAGGAGAAGCTGACACATAGAGGGAGAAGCTGGCACACAGAGGGAGAAGCTGGCACACAGAGGGAGAAGCTGACACTCAGAGGGAGAAGCTGACAGAAAAGGAGAAACTGGTACACAGAAGGAGAAGCTGACACTCAGAGGGAGAAGCTGACAGAGAAGGAGAAGCTGACACACAGGGGGAGAAGCTGGCACACAGAGGGAGAAGCTGACACGGAGAAGCTGACACAGAGGGAGAAGCTGACACACAGAGGGAGAAGCTGGTGCACAGAGGGAGAAGCTGGCGCACAGAGGGAGAAGCTGACACAGGGAGCAGCTGGCACACAGAGGAGGAGCTGGCGCACAGAGGAGAAGCTGACAGAGAAGGAGAAGCTGACATTCAGAGGGAGAAGCTGACACTCAGAGGGAGAACCTGACACGGAGGGAGAAGCCGGCACACAGAGAGAGAAGCTGACACACAGAGGGAGAAGCTGGCACACAGAGGAGAAGCTGACAGAGAGGGAGAAGCTGGCGCACAGAGGGAGAAGCTGACACACAGAGGGAGAAGCTGCTGCACAGAGGAGGAGCTGGCGCACAGAGAGACACTGATTTCATTACCGGTAACGCACCCAGGTCCCTTTCTTTGTCTCTCCAAAGCGTCATCACCTGCTCATTTACAAGATGTGTGTGCCTTGTTCTTGTACTACACCATCACAGGGTTATTTTTGCAGACTCAGAAGAGGAAAAGGAGCCAGCTTGTAGAGATGGAACCTAATTTAAAAATCTCCCTGCAGCCCTTGGAAGGGAGGCTGGCTGGGACCAGGCCTGGTCAGGGCGGAGCCTTACAGCCCCCCCCCAGAATCTGGCCAGAAAGGGGCAGAAGTAGCAAAGATGCCTGATGACCTGGCCTGGGGCTCTGCACAGGATGCTCAGTTTGAAGTTCTCCTGGGAAACTTTGTCACAGGGAGTAAATCTAGCCAAAGCTCTGTGCCTGCCAAATTCTCCAGTCTCAACGGAGCTATTGTTCATACTCCAAGTCCTGCTGTTATCAGATTTAGCCTGATTTCTGATGGGCCACCTCAAGACCACTTGCATTTAGAGAGAGCTGTTGCCGGAATGGGGAGGGGCTCCTTGGGATGATGGGGGACCCTGAGTCCTCCTCTGTTGTCCTGTGGGAAGCGAGCCACATATGAGGACCCTTAGCGTTGCAAATATAACAAGAGCCCCGTGTTTCGCTGTCAAAGCATTTTACAGTATCGAGCAGCTTTACCTGCACTGTTTCCGTTGGTCCCCCCAAGTCTGTGAAGCTGGGGGCTCTGTGGGTTCAAGGAAGCTGTTCTGACTCTTGTTTCCGTCTCTAAAGCAATAGCAGAGCCTCTCAATTTGTGAGGTTTAAATCATGAAATACCCGTGAAGACCTTGAAGAAAACAGCACTTGGCATTGAGTAACTTCTTAATAAATGTTCGAAATTACTGATAGGTATTTTAGACTCACTTGATAGGAGGGGAAGCCGAGATTCAGAGCGGCTAAGCTCCTGAATGAGATACCTGATACCAAGGAAGGAAGACATGGGCAGGGGGCCCACTGTGCAAGTGGGGCTAGACTTACTGGAGTGGGATTTCCATCACAGACCCCCTGGATGCCTTTAAACTTGGAAACAGAAGAAACACTGACTCCTCAAAAGAAACAAAGAAAGAGATGAAGGGATGATGTTGCCAGAAAAAGAAAAGAAACACTTGCACTTTTCAGAAACAACTGAGCCCTTCGTATCTTTATATTTAGGTCTAAATACCAGAAGGGGTATCATATTCAGACATAATTAGGTTTGAAAAAGATCCCTTTGCTCTGAGCCCTGCGCTGTGATTGGGGTTTTGCACCCACATGGCCTCGCCTCATTTTGGTCATTTTCAGGAGTTCAGCTGGCAGACCCCTCATGAGCAGAATAAGGTGTGATCGCGGTGCCTCCAACCCCCTGGTGTCCTCAGGAATGAAGGCCTTTGGGGTTCTCGTGGTCTTTGCCTCCTGCCGTAAGTAGTACCGAGCCGGAGCCGGGAGAGCTCCAGGGCGCTGTCCTCCTGTATGGGTGTCTGTGTCTCAGGGCAGCCCCTCCTGACGTGGCATCGGGTGAGAGGAAAACCAGGTGTCGCTCAAAAGAGAATCGGGAGTCGGACAGGCTTCCACCAAAGACCTCCTCCTTCTGTTTCTTCTACAAAATGGGTTGGTCCCAGCACTGGGACCTCACAAAACTTCTAGAAAATCAAAGCTTGCTAACCATTTGCTAAGAAAAGGGGCCTTGACTACTGTTTAACCACACCCCCCCCTTGGGGAGCCTTTTTTTCCCTCCCCTTCGGTTGCCTTTGTTTAATGTCACGTAGATTCCGGAACAAAAATGCAGACATATATCGAGCTAATTTAGGGACAATTAATTCTCATCAGAAAGGCTCTCTTATGGTGACTTATGGAATAATGGATAATTATAAGTCATTGCTACCAGGAGATCAGGTAACACCCCTCTGCCCGGTGAGAAAGAACTTACTAGCAAACCGTGTTGGGTTTGTTGGAAAACTCTTTGACTCTGATGAGTTTGATTAGTAGAGATTTCTCCAGATCCATTTTTCCTGTTTCAAGCTGTGTAGCTTTCAGGTCTCTAAGTCAAAATGTCAGAAAGGCAGCACCCATTTTCCTGTTAGTCCGTAGTGGAATTTACAGTTTTCAAGATCATGGCGAGGAGGACCACTTCTGCAGCCCCCATGGTGGGGCCTCCACGAGACCAGAGTCTTGAATCTCTTGAGGGACTGCTATGACAGCAGCAACCACCCTCAGCATCCCCACCCCCTCTGAGGTGCTTTAGAACAACAAAACCACAGTTTCACGTGGGGAGTCTCCTTGTGAACGTGTCCCAAACCCCTCTGTGTCTGTGTTTCTTCCTCAAGTTCATGTTGTTATGTTACTTCATTGCAAAATTAACATATGCAGGTAATTAAAAAGTAAAATAAGTGAACAGAACAAGATAAAGCCACTTTGCATCCTTCCCAAACCCTAGTCCTTTTCCTACACACGGATGTAACCACTCTTAAGACTTTGATAGACATGCTTCTAGGCTTTTCCACACATACATTTCGACCATTTTAATAGAAAAGTAACCACAGTCATTGTGAAAAATAAAAAAAGTTGAACAGCATAAAAGTATATAAATGGTGTCTATCTTCTTCTCCACCTACTTCCTCAATCCCACTGCCCAGAGAGATTGCTATTAAAAGTAGATGTTTTCAAGACACCATTTAGTTATTCTCCCTCTGTCAGTGGATATGTGGGTGGTATTCAATTTTTTGATACCACAAGGGACGCGCTGCAGCAAACATCCTTGTGTGTGTGTGTGTGTGTGTGTGTGTGTGTGTGTGTGTGTATATATTCTTCCCCCACTTTCGTAAACATTCTGTAGAAGTAAAAATTGCTGGGCCCATGTATATTTGCCATTAAAAAAAATAGATTGAGGGCATCTTTTCTGCCTCCTGAGTGTTTTGTTTCTCCTGTGAGATTATAAATGCCTGATGATATTTGTAGGAATTGGCATCTCTGGCTTTGAACCATTCCCGTTAATGTTGCATCAGACCCAAGGGTGTTTCTGCCCGGGATGGTGGTTTTTCACCTGGGGAGGGGGAAGACATGGTGGACAGTAATGTCCCGAACATCGTGGAAGCTGGGTTCTCATCCTGGGCTAGGAAGAAACTGGCTATGGGACACGGTGTTCTGATCCTATTACTTTCCCCCATGAAAGGGGCTGATGATCCCAGCCATGCCCATGTCTGGGGGCATGTTGGGTGGGAGGGCGTCTCCTGATGTCCCGGATGCAAGCGCTCTAGGTACGGGTCTCCGGGCTGACATTGTTCTCACTATGCCGTGTCTTCTTTCTTATGTTCTGGCCTGCAGTGGTGGCTCCTGCCCACAGCAGCGTCTGACAGTTTCAGAAGAAGGTCAAACACATCACAGGGCGGAGCGCCTTCTTCTCGTATTATGGATACGGCTGCTACTGTGGCCTTGGGGGCAAAGGCACCCCCGTGGATGACACTGACAGGTGAGTCCTGAGGCGCCAGGCCTGCTTTCCTTTGATTTGCTCGGAGACCCAGGCCGGAGGTGAGGCAGGGTGTTAGGACTCTTGCATTGCAAGTGACAGGAGCCCATTGGTGGTTTGTTGCTCTGTAGCCACCATCTCGAAATTCTTGTCTCCGAACAACGTGCCCCAACTTCCAGTGTTGCATCAGGCCTCGAAAATCATCTAGTGAGTCCTGCTCAGAGCCGCAGAACCGTCTTCAATTCTCAAACGTCACGGCAAACGTGATCTTCGCTCAGCAACCCAGTTTTTAGGATTAGACCACAGCAAGGCTGCCCTGCTGTCTCCCGGGCCTAATTCCACATTCCGGGAGAGAGAATCCCAGTGGCCCAGTTTGGAGAAGTTGTCCATCTGGGCGAAGCCACATGGCCTAACGTGGCTGCCAGGCCTACTCTTCAGCATGGGGGTGGGGAGCGTGAGTCCCCAGAAGAAGTGGAGGTTGGCGTAACCTGGCGAGGGCATGGGGAGGTAGGAAACAGGATCATTCGTTTGAAGAAATAAGAAACGAGGTGTTTCTCGCCACTTTTAACCTTGAGTGCAAAAATATGTTCCTGCAGCGGGGCCTGAAATGTCACTCCTGGAGCTTGAGTCCTCGGGGCTGGGCTCCTGAGAGCATGGAACATTCCAGCCGGAGGGATCCCGGAGCCCTACCTGGGCACTGACACTGATGGAGCCCCATCATGTGCTGAGCACTGGGATCGGTGATTGGCACATGGGGCCCAGCTTAATCCTTATGTCCGGTGGCCAAGGCAGTGGTACCATCCCCAGGTGACAGGCGGCAGCTGTGAGGACCCCCTAAACCACTGTAGCAAAGCTTAAAGACACACCAGCCCCTGAGTGAACAAGAATTTGCCTGTTTCCAAATCCGGGTCCTTTGCCCCTCTGTCCCTCCCCTCCCAAGCCTGAAGGCTGATGACAATTTTAACACCATGAGACAAAGATGACAAACAGCAAAGAGCCAGCTCATAGGCAGGGATGGCGAGAGGAAGGACTGAAGCATCTGGCCCAGAGCATTTGCTTTTCTGTGTCTTAGAATCCCATTCCCGGTCCGTCCCAGCTGCTTTCTCTTCTTGGTGTTCTCCCTTCCGGCCCCGGGTCACTCTGAGCACCGTGAGAACAAGGACAGAAGGACTATGGGTGTTTTTGCTGACCCGTCTCCTCAGGGACTATCACAGTGCTTGGCACATAGTAGGTGCTCAGGAAAAACTCATTACATGAATGACCGAGTCACATGGACCTAGGTTTGAGCCCCGTGTATGTGTGTGTGTGTGTGTGTGTGTGTGTGTGTGTGTGTGATTTTCCAGCTGTATAATTTTAGGAAATTTCCCCTCTTGGGATCCCGTCTCCTCCTCTACAAAAATGGGGACTATGATCACACTTCATAGGAGGAGCTAATGAGGAGGAGCTAATGAGACAAACAGAAGGTACTAGAAAGGGCTCACAAATGTGAGTGGTTGTGTTTATATTATTATTTGCAGGAATTTACCTCCTTACCTTCAGTGCCTTCTCGCTCTGGGGTGGAGGCAGGGGCATCTTTTCCAGGTTCTACCCATGTTTCCCCCACCGAACCCCGCTGATGCCCCAGGGCCTGCCCCCCTCACCTGCTCTGGTCTGGCCCCCAGATGCTGCCTGACGCATGATTGCTGCTACGGGAAGCTAAAGCAGCCCGGCTGCCAGCCCATGCTGAATAGCTACCGATTCCACAGCGCCAGTGGGACCGTGGTCTGTGAGTAGCCCTCTCTGTGGGGACGTGGCTTTGAACCTGGGCCTCTCCTTCATGTCTGCCTGCTGGCCGAGGAGTGCTTTGAGACAGAAAGTGTCAATTCTAGGAATTGGAGCTTCTTGGTAGCGCTTGCTTGGTCTCTGGTGTCTCCTGTCCATGGCTGTACCTCCAGCACCCTCGGCGAGCATGGAACACGGGCCCTGGGGTATAGCGCCTGCTCAATAAGTAGTTGTTGACTTGAGATTGTATTGAATCTTGCAGCTTTGCTGGGCAACTGTCGCTGTTGAGAACATTCCTCATGTCTGTCATGTGTTAACAAACAGCTCAGCTGTCTTTCAGTTGAACAAATATTTGTTGAGGGCGAGGACATGCCAAGCACTGGTAGGTGCTGTTGGCGGGGGGGCACAAAAGTAAGTAGGAGGGGTCGGGGAAGGGAGCTCGTGTGTCATCGAGGCCATTCAAGGAGGAGGGCAAAGGACAAGAGCGGGTAAGTATTGAGCGTCCAGCAGGTGGGGAGTGGCCCCCGATATCCCGGAGCATGTTCTGGGGCTGTTGGGGTGTGGGTGTGTGTAGGGCAAGTTTGGTCTAAAGAGCAAGCACGTTTGAAGTCCTGGCTATAGCTTTCTCACAAATGCCACTCATTGCAGTGGTTTGAATGCCCCTTAGGGCAACTGGCCTCCCACCTGGCCTTGCGGAGTGGAACCAGCCCCTTTCCTCCCTCTGTGTATTTGTGCTCAGCTGTGTGTCAGAGTTCACCTGCCCCCCGAGGTCAGGGAACCACTACCTCCCTTCCCTTCATCTCCCCCTTAGAGTGGGGGCTCAGCGCCCAAACCCCAGGGCTCCCCAGCGCCACCCCCACCCCAGGGCCCCGGCTCAGGACACATCAAGACTGACCAAGCGTTAGGACTATGCAGTGTCCCTGGTCCAGTGGTGAGACCTGAGCCGGGGGCGGGGGGGGCTTATGGCTCAGAACCCCGCAATGGGAGGACTGATGGTCTGCTTCTCAGCCTCCACAGCCCCCAGCCCCCACGCACACCGTCGATGGGGAGAACCCCCATTTCCCACATAAGCTCAAGGAGACATCTGTACTGGAGCTCCCTGGCCACGACGGTGCTGACCCCCAAAGCAGTGTGTCTTCTGGGAGACCCCGCAGACCATGTGCAGGGGATGGGATGAGATCAGGGCCTAGTGGGGGCAGGGCAGGGGAAGGGGGCTGGAGGAGGTTGCCCCCGGAGTTTGTTCACTTTGGCACATGATGCCCTCAGAGGCAGGGACTGAGTTTCTGGCTGCCTCTTCCCACCCTTTTGGGCCCCGCTTGGCAAGAGTGAGGGGGACAAGCCTGGCGGTTAGCTGGAGTGGGCGCACACGAGAAAGGTGCCTCTGACTCTTCTCAGCCTGGCTCACGGTCTCGCTCCCATACGGTTTCTTCTCCTCTCTTTTCCTCTTGATCATAACATCTGTCATGTCAAGTGTTACCTTAAAGTGCTTGAAAAGTTATCACTTTTAGAGAAAATATCCTCAAGGAGTTCTGTCCTCTGGTGCCCCCGTAAAGTGCAGGGGCCGAGGAAGAAAGGAAAAGGTGATCTGGGAAGGGAAGCAGAATTCTGCCCGCACTGTGGTCCCAGGCTCGGGGCAAGCCTCTGCCCTCTGCACCTGAGCTGCTGCTGTTTCTTCTGCTTCTTCTTCTTCCTCTTTTTTGAGCAGCTTATTTAGCAGCACGCTTCCCCCACCCATGTAGGGCCAGAGCCACAGCCTGGGACCCCAGAAGATGAGGGAGAGAGTGATCTGGGGCAGAGGCTGGAGCACCCCCTCCCGAGGTGGCACACGGAAACATTCTCTGCTTGGCACCTGCTGGGTGGTGGTGAGAGGTGCAGGCAGGGGCTGGGAGCTGGGCTGGAAAGTTTGCAGCCTGGGTTGTGCTTTCCACAGATGCTGCCAGGCAGCTAGTTGCCCTCAAAACTTCAGCAGACCTCCTGGAGTCCAGAGCCCTGCTTAGGGAGTTAGCACAGGGAGGGGGCAGGTGCTTCCCCGTCACCAGCAGGATGTCAGCATCCTCCTCCTCAGCTGACCCAGCCAGTGAGTACCAGGCCAACTCCCTGTCCTCCCCACCCGACCTTGCAGAGCCCCAGCTCCCAGGAGTAGGGCTAGGAGTTGGGTGATCTGGGTTCTGATCCTGGGTCCGCTGCTGGTACCTGCCGAGCCCACAGACCAGACCCAGGCACATTCATTTACTTGTCCAGTATTGCTTGAGCGCCTACTGGTGCCCATCCAGGGCCAGCGCTGTGCAGGGGCTGGGGCGCAGAGCAAGGCAGCCTCGGTCCTGCTTTCCTGGCATTCTCCAGAACTGAAAGCGCCCTTAGGGACCCTTGAGACCAACCCCTCCTTGTAGGGACAGAGAGACTGAGGCCCAGAGAGTTTAAGAGTTTGATCTGAGTAACAGGCAAGATTAAAACACATGCATCTTCAGCCTTTCCAGTGCTCTGGAACACACTGCTTGGCCTGAGTTTTCTGGGCCTCAGTTTCTTTATCCATAAAATAGGTACATTAGCAACAGCTGCAGTCTGTGAGCATCTGTGATAGATGCTTTACACACAACACCTTAACCCCCGGGATATACCTTTGAGGTGGGTATGGTTATCAAGAAGGACCCTGAGGCTCAGAGAGGTTAGCTGAGATGGCCACGGTCACACAGCCAGGGAAGGAAGATTTGTGAGTCGGACTGAGTTTGTCTGGTCCCAGAGCTAATGCTCCTGCCTCACATTGCCCTCCCCAGTGGCATGGAGCTACCAGGAGGGTGTTGGGTGGGTTAACTTGGTTGGAGGGCTCCCACAAATGCAAGTCTTGTTGTCAACAGCATACTCATCAGAATGCTCAGTGCTGGCCCAGGGGACAGAGAAAGGCAGATGGACTCGGCTCCTCTGTAATGCCCCAGATCTTTCTGTTCTAGCTTTATGTCCCCTGCTAAGAGGCCCGGAGAGAGCACATACTTTGGAGTCAGGCAGAGCTGGCTCTGAATCCCAGTTCCACCGTTTCTAGCTGGATAATTGCACAACTACCCTCGCCCTTAGTCTCCTTGTCTGTAAAATGGGGATAATAATCTGCACTTCATAAAGTTGCTAAAGGAACCCCACTAAAGGGTCTGACCCATAGCAGGTGTCTAGGTAATGCCTTTCCTTTTGAAGCTGAGACTTCTTTTTGCACCTAAGTTTTCTTTTCCCTTTACTTTTGCAGAAAAGCACTGGGATTTTCTTCATTACTGTTAGGAGATTTCCCTGAAGCCTCTCCTCTACACCTGTATCTCTTCAAGCTAACGTCATTAACTCCCTAGAGAAGAAAATCTCTTCCCCACCCCCACCCCAGTTACACCGTGGTTCAAAGAGCAGCCCTGCAAGGGTTAACTGCCTCCCCCTCCCCTGTTCCGCCCCCCCCCCAGCCTCCAAGTTCTGAAATCCTGTACCCAGAGCCTGGCCCTGGGTTGCCTAGCAACCAGCAGCTGATCTGGGATGCAATTGGTGAGAAGGAAGGGAAAGGAGAAAAACAACTTGGCCTGTCCATGTCTTTAAATGTCACTGGGAGATGAGTGCAGAGAAAGGCCTATAACCCAAGCCCTGGGGCCAATTTGCCAGGTGGCAAAGGCCGCCCTAGAGCAACCAGGGAGATTGTTATCCCTCCTCTGAGTGGGCTTACATAAGTACTTGACATTTGCAAGGGACTTTAAGATTAGCCAGCAGATGCCCCCCCTCCACCCACATAGGCATGTATGCGTTGTGCAGGCGGCATGGGGGGCAGAGACCAGTTTCCAGCCACTCGTCCACTTACACCTCCATGCCTGAGCTTCTGACTTCTCCCTCTGCCAGCTAGGGAAGGTGAACATGGTAACCACTGGAATTTGTGGTTTGCAAAGCTCTTTCTCCTTCATTACTAAATGTATTCCTCACAATACCTCCACTCGCTGACACATCACCCTTTTCTTCCTCCTAGCATTTGTCTCTACCTGAAATTACCTTGTTTATTTATGCATCTGCTCTCCCGCCAACCAGAATGTGAGTTCGGGGGGGGAGCAAGGAGCAAGCCTGTCTTGTGTTGGGGGGGCACTCGTCCCCATTAGAACCCACAGAGAAGGACGCCCTGGGAGCTATACACATGGGGTCTGCTTGCTCAGACCTGTAGCTCCAGTGCCTAGCCAAAGGCCAGGCACATGTTAAGGACTCAGTACCTGTTTGATGAGTGAATGAATGAACTCCTGAAATAGTTAATGCAAGTGTCTGTTTCCTGATTTGAAAGCTGAGGAAACCAGCTTGGGGACCAGCAACTGGCCTGAGATCCTAAAGCACACAGGTGGTGGGTCTGGATGGAGAACCTGGCTTCCCGTTTCCTGGGATGGGGATCCTTTTGCTGTCCCGCAGAGGGTGAACGTCCAGCCTAAACACTGCGTGTTTAGGGCTGAAGATGTGCAATGAGAAGACAGACTCCCTGCCCAGGGGGCTTGCCTCCAGGGAGGGAGTCAGGTCCCCAACTACTGAGAAATAAAGTGCTGCAACAAGGCAACAGGATATGGAATGATGACGGCAGGGAGAGGGAAGGATGGCTACTTCCTGGGGCTGAAGAAGCCCTTGCAAGGAAGTGGCATTTAGCCAGTGTGGCAGGAGAAGAGGCGATGGGCAGCAGGGCCGCGGAGGCTGGTGTTGCATGGGGAATGGGGATGGGGGGGCGGCCGCCGGGCTGGGCCGACAGGTGAGGAGCGCGCCTTCTCCTTCCATTGCACCTTCCATTGCAGGGGAAGCGGCCAGGGTGTTTGCAGCAGGATATGGTCTACTCTTGCTTTAGAAAGATCACCCTGGCCACTGTCCAGCGTGGTTGGGGAGCCATTAGTGAGCACTGGGGAGAAGCTTCCACAGGGTGGTGGAGCGGAGAAAGAGAGAAGTGTCCGATGCTGGGTGTTTTGGAGGTAAATTGCCAGGAGCTGTTGATGGATGAGATGCCAGGTGAGAAGGAAAAAGAGACAGAATCCAAGGTTCCCGGCCCGAGCAGCCATAGGTAAGGTGTTGTCCGAGCTTGCGCAGATGGGGAAGAACAGGTTAGGGAGACACAGCAAGCACTTGGCATGAGCCTTCTTGAGTTCGAGACGCATATCAGACACCTGACAGGTAGTCAAGTAGATAGGAGCATATCAGAGTCTAGAGCTCAGGGGAGACACCTGGCTGGGACGAGAACCCAAGAGTCATGGGTGTTCAGATGGCATTTATTATTTTTTTATAAATAGATTTTGTTTATTTGAGAGAGAGAGAGAGCATGAGACAGAGAGCGCACCAGCAGCGGGGGAGGGACAGAGGGGAGGGGCAGAGGGAGAAGCAGACTCCCTGCGGAGCGGGGAGCCCGATGCGGGACTCGATCCCAGGCCCCTGGCATCATGACCTGAGCTGAAGGGAGATGCCTAGCTGACTGAGCCACCCAGGAGCCCCTCAGGTGGCATATAAAGCCCTGAGACCGAACCAGAGGCCCAGGGAGAGACTTGAGAGAGCAGGGCAGAGGCCTGGCAGGAGCCCGAGTTCTCCGTGGCGAACATTCCTGTAGGGCGTCGTGCTTCGTCCCGTTTGTGGAAGTCTACATCACGGACTGAGGAAGACGGCCCTGAAGCCACCAGTTCCCTTCTTCATGTCTCAGTTCTTGTCTCAGTGTCTCCACTCGCAAACTGGAAGATGCGGGAACTGGATTCAGGCTGGTTTTGGAAAAGATGGTTTGCAAAGAGGACATTTCTTGGCCCAGGGGCTGCCTCTCCTTCCAGGTCTCGACAGGCCTGGTCTGGCCATGGCTGTGGGATGCCCCAGAGCTGGTGGCCCACGGCCGTTGGCCCCTGCTCAGGTCAGTTCCTGGGGGCCTGGGGCCCGGAGGGGCGTTAGAGGTGCCCTGTGCCGCAGGAGAGAGTCATGCTCTGTGTGTCAGAAAGGACCAGACAAAGTCAAAAAGGGACAGGGAAGTGAGAGAAAGGACAAAGGACAGTGAAATGGAAAGGAGGAAGAGAGGAAGAGAAGACAGAGGACAAAGAAGAGGAGGGGCAGAGGTAGAGTGACAGCGCTCCGGGTGAGTGACAAGCCCTTTCCCAAGGAGAGCGAGGTTGAAGGGGGCAGTGCCCTGCATCTAAGTAGCTCCCCGAGGACACCAGCCACGAGTCCACGTGGGCCCCTGCAGACCACGGCGGCCACCCTGGACGGACGCAAGGGGTGTGCTGGGTACGAGGGAGGCCAGAGACCCGGAGGGGACAGGGGTTTGGGAGGGGCTCCTGGGGGAGCTGGGGCTTGATGGAGCCTGGGGGATTTTCACAGATGGAAGGAGGGAGTGCGAGGGCAAGGGTGACCCAGGTGTCAGGAATAGTGGGAGTGACAGGAGCCGAGAGCCAGGGGTGGGAACATCCCCGGCACATTTCATGAGGGTGCACGGAGGGCACAGCTGAAGCGTAGGATGGCTGTTGAGAAGCCAAGTCTCCGGGGAGATGCGGGAGAACAGCTTGCTGCAGGAATTGGACTTCGGAGGGAGAAAGGCAAACAAACAGAGGCCAGCCAGCCCTGGGGCCAACTTCAAAGGGCTCCTCTTCTTCCAAGAGGCAACACCATCATCATCACCGTGAGCACTTGACCGAGCACTCTGGGCGTGCCTGGCGCACGCACACCACTCCCTCCCAAAACAGCCGCGAAAACCCTCACAACGAACCTGCACAGTAGACACCATTATTTATTTTTGACACTATTATAGTTTTTATCATCATTTTGAAAATGTGGATACTGACTAACTTGCCCATGATCAACAAACAGGAGTCAGCCTGCCTCCCTTCCTCCCCCTGAACCCTCAGAAGAGAGCAGAACACACCACACTCACACACACACCCACCCAAACACTACGGATTTGACAACTAAATAAAAGATCCCCATCTAGTGGTGACTTGGCCGAAGGGCAGACACTCAGTCCCAAAGGCCCAGACAGAGGCTGGGTTCATTTATCAGCGACTGTCCGTGGAGCACCTGCTATGTGTCAGCATCTGTTCTGCAGGCTGGGGATACTGTGAGGGCCGAGACAGGCAAAGCCCCGGCTTCACAGAGCTCACGCTCCGTCGAGGGGAGACAGACACCCTCAAGTAAACACATAAGAGACGCCCGGGTTGTGCAAAGCACAGTGAATGAGATAGACGGCATATGCGGGAGACTGGCTGGAGGGAGCTCTAGGTCGGGGCCCCAGGAGGACCTCTCTGAGGAGGGGAAATCTGACCAAGACCCAAAGGAGGAGATGAATCCAGTTGCTTGAAGGTCCTGGACACAAGCGTTTTAGACAGAACAGTGTGAGCAAAGGCCCCGGGACAAAAGGGAGCCAAGCATAGAGAGGCCAGTGTGCCCGGAGCAGAGTGAAGGGCAGTGGGGACGGAGAGGTTGGCGAGGGCCAGATCACGGCGAGGCTGCTCTCGGCCCCTGGTGAGGATTTGGATATCTTCCCCCAATACTAGGAAACTGCGCTGGGGCTTAAAGCAGGAGAGTGGACCTGATCGGGGTGACGGTTTAAGAAAGTCCCGTTAGGAAGGACGAACTGGTGGTGACAGGGACTGGGGGAGCGGCCAGGAAGGTGGAGAGGAGAGGGCGGAGTGTGAAGTACTCTAAACAGAGACATCGGTGGCGCTTGCTGTGGAGTGGGTGTGCAAAGTGGGAGGCGGGGAGGAACCCAGGCTGCTGCTCACTTTCTGGCTCGAGGAGGAGGTGGTGCCGCTTGCGAGCTGCGAGCGTGGGTAAAGGACAGGTTCGTGGGCAGAGGGAACGCTACATCGAGTGTTCCCTTTTGAACGCCTTAAGTTGGAGATGCCTGAGACATCCCAGCAAGATGTCAAGCAAGCAGCTGGAAGTGTGAGGTGAGTTCTGAGAAAGTGGGTCCCGTGTCCTTGGCCTGCGTGCCCACTCAGGGCACCCCTCCGTGCAGTCCAGCCTCCCCCTCCCCGTTTCCTTCCGGGCTGCTCTTCACTCTAGTCCCTGTGGCATGTCCAGGTGTGACCAGGGACCCAGGAGACGGACTCCCAATTTCTTCCCTTTCTGTTTTCAACCCTTGACCCCTTGCTGCAAGCCCCTGTTTTCCCCGACCTTAGAACCAAGCGGAGCCCCCAGTGGCCCTTTCTTTCTCTGCAGGTCAGTGTGCCCTCGGCCCCGGTGTCAGCTGTCTCTGCAGGCTGTGGGCATGTGAGTGTGACAGGCAGCCTGCATACTGCTTCAGATAGAGCTGCCCACCTACGAGAAAAACTTCAAGCAGTTCTTCTCTAGCCAGCCCCGCTGTGGCAAGCGGAAGCTCCAGTGCTAGGCAGCCCTGGGCCCCCTCGTCGGCCAGCATGGGATCCAGTGTCACTCGTCCTTCCAGAAGCCTTCTCACGCCATCCCATACAGGCTCTAGTTCTGCAGCCACACTTCAGCACATGGTCTAGGGTACTCCTTTGTCACTCGACCCCGAGGGCAGCCAATCAGCATTAGAAAAAATAAAATCCTGGCATGCTATGGAGGGAGACAGCCCCTATTATATAGACAAAAATAAATAACATTTTCTGATAGTCGCAAGTGCTAAGAAGCACTCCAACAGCTGACAGGATAGAGAGATGTTACCAAGTCCCACCCAGAAATTTCCAAGAGGGGGAAAGGACCCAGGATCTACCCTAAACTCTCCCTCCACCCCCCTCCCCCAAAATCAGGATGCAGGGCAGACCTGGGAACCGGGTTTGCAACCCACATCCAGCCGGGGGCAGAGTAGGGATCCCGGAAAACACAGTCTTGGCACACAGCCAGGGGTCTGAGAGATGCCCTTGGACTTTGTTTCTTGTCTGTTGGGGTTCTGCTCTCTGAAATCCCTCAGGTAGGAAAAATTAATGCCATTTCCATCTCTCCGGAGACAGGGCATGAGGATATCCACACCCAGCACTGCTATGTGGGTGTCATGGCCAGGAAGGTGTCATGGAGAGGGAGAAAGGGCCTGGAAGAGGGCATCAGAGGGCTCCAAAATTTCCATCCAAATTCAGAAGGCCCTGGTGATATTAGACTTAGATTCTAATGAACACCAAAGTGACCCGAGCTGAGCAGATTCTGTTCTATATAATGCCCAACTGGCATGGCAGAATGCAAAATTGGCCCCAATTGTCCTTACCTTGCTGCATCCTTGCCTCTCGTGAAGGATCGCTCAGCTTTGCCCATGGAGAAGTAGAGTCTGCCCAGTGGTTGAATCTGAACTCCGTGCTGGCCTTTGAATTACTTTGGTCAATAGAATGTAGTGGAACGTATGGATGGTCTACCAGTTCCCGAGCTTAGGCTTCAGGAGGCCTGGTGCTCTGCTTTCCCAGGACGCCGGGCTCCACCTGGCCCACTGGAAGGTGGGAGCCAGAGTCCGTCAGCCCAGCCGTGTCCACTCAGACCTCAGACACATAAGAGCGCTCGGCAAAGGTCAGCAAAGCCCACTCATTGCTGACCACAACCCACGAGAGCAGCTCGCTGGAACCGAAATGGTTGTCTGGCTGAGCCCAGGCGAAGTTGCCAATTGCAGAACTGTGAGCTACATAAAGCCTGCATTTTTAAGTCACTAAGGGGTGGTGTGGTTTGTTACACAGTATAGCTCACTGATACAACAGATCTTCATTCATGAAGACTCCTGGGTTCTCAGCACTGTGCTACACTTGGAGGCCAGCAAGAACGTGGTGGATGTGGGCCCTGACCCGTACCTTGAGGTCTGGGAGGAGAAAGGCCATGCTCATATAATAAGGGAGAACACGCAGAGGGCCGTGATCACACAGTCATCCAACAAACATTTAGTGAGCCCCCACTGAGCGTCGGGCACCCCCACCAGGGCTGGGCAGTAGGGATTCAGAGACCTTAAGAAAACAAACAAAATCAGGTCTCAATATCCTGGGGTGAACTTCAAGAGTCGTAGCAGCCTTTAGAAGTTCAAGTTCAGACATTTAGAATCTGGATTGAGTGATGCTGTGGCTGATGTGAAGACAGTAAGGGAAGCGAGCGGCGGTCAGCAGAGGATCTGGGAGCCGGGGCTCCGGGCTCTGCCTCACTCCGCGGGCAAAGCCGAGTGGTAAATTTGTCCTTCCTTCCTTCCTTCCTTCCTTCCTTCCCTCCTTCCTTCCTTCCCTACCCGCATGTGCTGTAGTGATTACAACTGCAGAAGAGGACCTTGAGATTGATGGGCATCCATTGGCAACGGTCTTAAAGGTCTGAGGTAGGCGGTTGCAGAAGGGCAGGTGTGGGACTAGCGTGGCTGGGTCCAAGCCAGGCACCTCCGCTCCTAGGAGGTTTCTGACCACAGCAGAGGCCAGCTCAGGACTCTGGACATATCCGGCCATCTGCCACCGAGGAGGAGGCCGGCCAGGGCTGCACTCAGCAAGGGGGACAGAGGTTCCAGTGAGAGATCCAGGCCACCTTCCTCTCCCTGGGTCTCAACTCCTAATGTGTAAAATAGAGGGAATTGGCCCTTGCTGGCATCCAAGCCCCGCTCAGTTCTGAGAGATGGGAGTGCAGAAGGATGTCGTTGACTTTCACTTGGGAAAGCCTACTCTCCTGGAAGGATAGCCATTCACCCATCAACAAGTGCACTCTCAGGGCCTACTCCAAGCCAGGCCCTGTGCTAAGAGCAGACAAACAAAGATGCATCAGACTCCAAGTGGCTCTCAGATCAGGGGACACAAGTCAACAGGCAATCACAAAGCAGGCTGCAGAATATGCTGGAATGGGGACAGCGTGGGGAGCAATGACTGCCATCCAGGAAGGCCAGGCCAGGCTTCCCAGAGGAATGCTGGGGGTCTGACATCTCACCTGTGAGCCAAAACATGAAGCGGGCTCTTGGCGTGGCCAAGTGGGGTGTGCAGAGCCTCCCGGTAGAGGGATGGAAGGTAATTCGATATGCATGCCGGCGAGGGCCTCTGCCACCTGCCTCTCCCCATCTCAGCTGAGGGGCCCTCCTCCATCCTTGCCCCCCCCCCACACCCAGGGCAAAAATCTGCATGTCAAATTCTTTCTCTCCTATCTCACATCCCACATCCAATCTGTTGGCACTCCTTTCAAAATAAAACTAGATTCTGTATGTATTTATAAAATACTTAGTAAAATGCACACATTAAAAAAATAAAACGAGAGTGGAAACATCTAGAATCTGAGCACTTCTCACCCACCTTGGGGGCTGCCATGATGGCTGGTGGGAGCCGCCATCACCCTGGTGGGCGTCGGCAGCTGCTCTTCCTCATTCTCTCCGCCCCCCACCCTGGGCCCCTGTAATCTCTTCTGCACTCAGCCACCAGGCAGCCAGCACAGTGCCTGGCATCTGACCAGGTCCCCGCTCTACTCACGCCCTCCAATGGCTCCCCATTTCCCTCTAAGAGCCAACGTCCTCCCGGGGCCCAGGAGGTCCCCACACCGCCCCATCCTGCTTCTCGACTCAGCTCCTGCACCACCTCAGCTGCTCCGGCCTCCATGCTGTTCCCTGAGCACAGCAGGTATGGCCCCTCCAGAGGACTCCATCCCGGCTGGCTGTTCTTCTTGCCTGGAAGGGGCTTCCCAAACGGCTCACTCCCTATCGCCTCCCACTGCACTGGGGTCTCCCCGCCTTCGTAAAGCTGATGCCGACCACCCTATTGGATACTGCCCACCGGCCCCTGGCATTTCCCTTCTCCCTGCTCCTGCCCCTTCCAGTTCTGTTCTCTGCCCCTCAATGCGCTCCGTTGGTCTACCCTGCCAGAGTGTAAGCTCATGAGGGCAAGGATCTTTGTCCTCTTTTTATTTTTTTTAAATCACTGATGTAAATGTTGAATGGCACTGCGGTCAAAAGAGAGAATGTGGGATGTAAGGGGATGGCCAGTAGCTCAGAGTGGGGAGCAGGGAATGCAGGGAGTGGTTTTCCAGAGCCAATGCACTTGAGGAGGTGGGCAGGGCTGGGTGAGGGAGAGCCCTGCCATGCCCCTGAGAAGCCTGGGCTTGATCCTGGCAGCAGTGGGGATCCCCCTCCACCCCATTCTCTGCAACACAACCACTCTCCGAATGTGTGAACTTGGGCAGCTCAAGCGTCTGGAGCCCCAGTGTCCTGAGGGGGCAACCTAGACGGCTGAGAGCATGGCCTGCGGTAACAGGGGGCACCCCCAGGGAGGTGGCAGGTGTTCCGTAAGGTTCATTCGCATCACCACCGGGCACTGTCAGAGTGAGCGCCCCACCTCCAAGGGGACAGCCTTCGAATGTGGATGTATTTTTACAACAGCTCTCCATAGATTTCCCCCCGCTGTGTCTCACTACCTGGTGAAGCTACCAGCCAGCGAGGGAGGTGGAGCCATGGTCACTCCCTCCACAAGGGTGCTGGGCTCAGTGCCCTCCTGGGGAGACGCTGTCGCTGTTCTGGGCTGACTGTGTGTGGGGGGGGCTGAGTCTGTGGCGCCACTGTCCCGCATTCCCACTCCCGGGGTGTCTGTGAAGCTGTGAAAGGCGTGGGGATGAGCAGATGTGGGGACCGTGGCATATGGCAGCGTGGGCGTGGCTGGGGGCCTGAGAGGCAGGCGGCACTGGGGCGTGGTGGGGAGTGAGGTGACTGGGTTTCTGGGTCAGGGAGCGCCTGGGCTGGTGGCTCCTGGGATGGGTCAGACATTGCTGAGCTTGCTGGAAGTGGGATCACATCCAGATGGGAGAACAAAGTGGGGGCATGGTCCGGGCCCCCGAGACCTTGAGTGGGGAGAGGGGTGTCCACATGGGCCCCCCCCTCCCAGGCAGCCCCTGGGTCCTGAGCACTCACCTTGTCCAGACACAGTGCTATCTTCAAACACGGTGCTGTTAAAAGCTCCGATTTACCGCTAGACCACACAGCTAACACGTCCAGAGCAGGGGACTTGAGCCCAGTGTTGTCCAACTCTGCCCCCTCTACCCTACGGTTCCCCTCAGCAGGTTTGTCCCAGAAGGAATCCAGAACTGGAGAGACTGGTGGGGGGTCGGGGGGCACGGACCAAGGATGTTACTCCAAGGGTTTAAACACTTGCCCTAGAAGGACGCCTAGTTTCTGGCTAAGCCACTAACTCATTGTGTGGTTTCATCCATCCATCCAGGCAGGGCACTGTGGATTCAGCGGGAGTAGCAGGGGGTCCCCCCTCAACCTGAGACTCGCAACCCAGGTGGGGACACACAGATGCCAACAGGACAGTGAGGAGAGGGGAGCCCGGATACAGGCACACCTCGGGGCACCCCATCCGGACCTGCTGCTCCAGGAAGCCTTTGGACCCACCTGAAGGATAAGCGGGTGGTAGCAGGCAAGGCAGAGAGGAGGGGAGTGTGCTCCACGTGGCG